CTTTGAGGATCCTCCACGTTGCTGCGTTCGGTCTGGCCTTGAAGGCATGCCGCGCCGCCCGTCGCTTGTCAAGGGCGGTCGCCAGGGCTGCCCGTGCCGCGGCGGTCATGTTCCATTCCGGGGTGCGCCGCCTCCGGGGTTCCTCAGACAGCTCCGTCTCCGCCGCGCCAAGCAGGGCCTCCGTGAACTCCTTCGCCATTTCCTGAGCGGTGGTCGCCGGCGCGCCCGACCTCGCAAATTAGTTTCAGAGAAACCGTTGTTGCCAGTAGCAGCAGCAGTGTGTGCATCACGGCGGCAGTGCGTCGTGGTTTCTTCTTGCGTGCGTGTAGTTTGTTGCCCAAAGAAAAACAAAAATGACGACGCCTCCTGGGGACGCGTCCATGTGACATATATATTTGCACAAACGGTGTGCTATCTCGAGACACCGACCACGGATTGCAAAGGTAGCGGTTGGGACAGCTCGGGCAAAATGTTACTTGTTGTGCGCAAGTTTTAGTTTGCAATTTGGTGCCGAGATGGTGAAATGGGCTCGAGTCNGTCAGGACCGTCGTCATTATTATCTTGTTCGCACCAACCCCGCCGGCCCCCCCGAAGTGAGTACATCATACACATACGCGGCAGGAGACCTAAAGACAGACAGACAGAAAGACGAACAAACACTGCAAACGACGCGCGCTTGGTTGTCCAGATAAACGCTCCTCCCGCCCCCCAAGACGAGGTGCACGCGTTTCACACCTCGCGAGAGGCATGTTGCCTAAACAATGTCATGAAGACCCACCTAACTACATACGGTGCAAACCCAGCACGACAACGAAAAAGCTCAGGCCATGAAGGTGGGTACGACTGCTGGGCCAACTTGGGCGGCGGTTACTCTCGGCAGTTGGAGCTGTTGCTTGGCCACCTCAATTGCGTTCCGCCAGGCGACCACCATCAGGCCTAGCCCTTGACCGATCGGGTGACCCTCCATGAGTTGACTCTGCCTGGAGGCGGTAACGTAGTTACTCAAATACGCGTCCACTCCATCTTCACGCTGTGCGCAGGTTCGCAAGTCCTTGACATTCCCTTCTGGGTGTTGGCCGGCGTCCTGGAGGGCGACAGCACAGGCTGCCACGGGGGAATCCCTCCAGGCTGGCTTATCGAAGAGCACATATCGATCTATGCCAAAAGCGTCGAGGAGGAAGGGTACGTACACCCAGGAGTCTGTGTGGGAGTTCTGTATTTGGCGAACCGCGTATACCTCCCACGAAACAACGGCTGGAGGGATAGAAAGGTCTGGCCTCTCCGTCCCACGCCGGCCTCGGCCCTGCCCCCCGCGCTGCCGTCCACCACGGCCGCCTTGCACTCCCCCCTGCCTCCCCCTATCTCCTCGCCGCCCTCCTCCGCGGCCCGCCCTCCGTCGTGTCCTCGGGGGCCGAGCGGTTCTGACGATGGGCGGCAAGCCATGCTGACGACGTGTACGGTCCTCGACTGTCCGCACGTGGTCGATGGCGTTGAGTCGTGACTGGAAGGAACGGCTGTCGCCTATTTTGAGGAAGCGCTCAAGGGAGAAGGGCTCGAGGAGCATGTTCTCCAGCGTACGGCACCGGCTGAAGGCAGTGAAGGATTGTCCGTCGCTCCTCTCGCTTGCTCCGATGTCCAAGAAGCAGCGAAGCAAGGTGTTGCCCTGACTCTTGTAGATGGTGATACCGAAGGCGAGCAACAAGGGCAACTGCATCCTGAAGCAGCGGGCGATGGAGGTGCCGTCACCTCTACGGCGACCCGTGGGTGGTTGATCATCCATGACGTCCATGGGGGCGATGGGGCAGAGGTTCGTGAGGTCAATTTCGCCGTCGGCCCAATCCCTCCGGAGTGGTTGCTCGAAGTATTGAGAACCCCTGTAGTTCCCCACGCGAACCCACACGACCTCCGGCAGTTGTGGCGGCGTTTGGCCCTC